GTTACGTATACTATACCTTTCTTCTTCTACTTAGTACTTCTTCTACTTGTACTTAGTACGTCGTACTCTACTCTCTCTCGTCTCTCTCTCTTCGACTTAAAGCCCCTCTTTAGCAGTGCTCTGTCTCTAGGTATCCATCTTTATAAATCATCATAGAGCCCTATTTTTCAAAACAATATATTGGTCTCCCATTTTCTGATTTTTTTTGGTGTTTTATCCTTATTTTTAATGTAGGTTTTATGGCCCTGACTGAGCTTGTGCAAGCAGCTGTCGTGACCTCTGTTTCTCTCCATTATTCTCAGTCCCATTTGTTTTTCCCCATCTATATATTACTCATGCAGGTGCAGAATCCTTAGCTTCTCACTCTATTTATGCATACTCCTCATATATGCATTTGATGAATGCTTGAAATCCACAGGAAACCCCAAATTTTCATACACAGGAGTTGCAGAAACCCCAAAAGTTTTCTGATGTGTTTTTTTTTTTTACTTTCTCCATACTGCAATCTCATACTTATGATGGATTACTTGATTTTGCCTCTGTCCTTTAGATGCTGCAGGTTCTTTTCATATGGCCTTGCCAATTGGATTATATGTTCAGAATTCCCTTCTAAATGGTTATCAGTGTCAGTCAACCACTTGGTCACTTAAGATACTATATTTTGTAAAGATAACACAAAATATGTTATCTTTCGAGCAGTCATGTACTTCTTGTTTATGTTTGTTCATGGCCTTGTTATTTATTTTTGCATTAATATACTCATAGTTGCAACTTAGGCAAATAAAACAATTGATATTCAACCCAATTAGACTAAAGAAACTGTGCAGTGACGGCTTGGTAATTTAGGAAGATGTATGACCAAGCATCCCATGGATGCAAACGTGAACCATTACCTACTTTTAGTTCATGAACTATTTCTTTGTAGTATCTACAAAGGCAACACTTTGGATGATAAATCTCCAAGAGTAGTCAAACCATATCAAAGCATACCAGGAATGCACAATAAACTGAGACTGAGACACTAGTATCAACATTTTAAACTATAAACTGAAACTTCAGATCGCAAATCAAAGATAAAATGCGTATTTGCTATTAAGATTTGCATGCAATCACATCTAATCAACTCTACCATTTGGCCTAAACAACGGTTCTATTTATGGATTAGAGGTAGGCACGCCACTCTATGAGCTAAAAAACCAACCACTTGAAAATTATGTCTATATATGATTCTAATTCGATGTATAAATTGGACAATTAAATTAATAGTTTTGATTTTGGGGTCGACTCGGATCACTCAACCCCCGGTTCCAAGCGAACTCGGGCAATTCTAGGTAGTGTAATGATCCTTGAAACCCTTGCTATGCCTAACACAAATTTTCTCATTCTCTCTCTCTCTCTAGATGATTGTTTTTAGAAGGAAATTTTGAATTTTTTTGATAGTGATCTTGCGGCCTCTGATCATCTTGAGGCATTATTTTTTCTAGTACACAGATTTCAATTTGAAAAGTTTTTCTTATTAAGGTAAGTCTTTGGGTTGAAGAGATTACATCCCCAAAATATAGGGTTCTAAAACTAATCCTATATTGGGTTTTACCCAAGGGTAATAGATAGTATACTCCTGTAGGAGTATACATTATTTTGGCTAATTTAATGGTTCTATTCATGATTAATATTTCAAACTCCTTTGAAAACATGAATAACAATTGCGACCTTATATCTTTCTCCCCTTTCCCCCGTTTTATCACATTATTTTAACCATTACTAGGACAAGGCATGCGTAATGCACATTTTGATTATTGTGTTTACATTCTCAAATGATCAAATTGTATAAATTTCTAAAAACTAAAATCCATAAATTGGGGAAATAAGGATTAGATTTATTAAGCTTTAAAATAGGAGAGAAATTATCATCATTGTAACTTTTTGCCAGTTAATTTGGGTCGGTTACACGTATCTCGATCTGTTATTCTGCTTTATTAAAGGGCACATACCTTTGTAAGTTCATGATGCATGATACGTTTTTACGTTGGTTGTCTACCTGACACAACCCAGCCTTTTTACCCTGGTATGGGACGTGTTAAGACAAAGTTTAAGGTTATCACCCTTCTTAGACCATTTGAAATAGGAGAGAATTACTCTTTAATAACATCAAAAGTATCTATTCTTGATTTCAAAAAAAGATTTTGAGTATTTATTAAATAGAGAGAGTCATGTTCATATTATATATTCTTATATAAATTATCAACAAAGGTATTTATAACATGATAATATAAAAATTAAATTGGATTAGGAGTGTAGATACTTAGATCCCGATTGAGGAAGCTGTAGAAGAAGTTACACCAGAACTTGAAACACTCACACCCCTTCATAAAATCATCCTCCATAAATCTAGACCACTCAGCAGAGCTCAAAACACTGAATGTCCCTAAAGAAGGCCCAACCGCACTTAGATTGCATAAAAATGGCCCAACGGTGATCATGGAACTATTTTGTCTATAAATACTGGGCTCCTCTTCGAGCCAAAAAAGAGAATTTTTATAAAATGTGCATGAGTTCTGCTGGACCAGACCCGAACCTATCTGATCCTTGAAACCAAACCCAAATCTCATATCTTAAATCTTAAGAATCTTATCGAACTCAATAAAAATCAAAGGCAGTCTGGATAATCGAACTTTTCGGACCCTCTTCCACCCATAGCTTTGATTGGTAAAAACTTGAAGGATTGGGACTAACAGTGTAGTTATCGACTTTGAACCGGTGCCGACTCCTGGGCCGGGCCTAAGGGCCCAGTCTGAGGTATCATTTTCCATTTTATTTTGCTCTTATGGCATTTATGAGCTTTCTTAAGTTTCATTATTGAATCATTTACCCTTGTTCTATTTTGAAACTCTTCATTAAATCCCTGCTCTTTTTATAAAATACTTCAAAAATCTCTTTCAAACTCCATGGCTAAGGTGTGTGAGAAAGCTGGTATTTGTCAGCTATCTGAGCGAGATAAGATCTTATCGCTTTGACCGGACCCTTTCTCTATCAACTTCATTCATGAGTTTACGTTCGAAACCAAGGCAGGGACCGAGCTTGTTGCTTGCATTTTCGAGTATAAACAAGGAGGTAGCCACCCTGAATTCTCAGGTCCCCCTCACTATGTACTATACCCCAAGTCCCATCTCCCAGCATACTTCTACTCTCATGGAACAACGTGTGTTCTTGCCCTTAATTATGGTTTAATATATTGATTAATTGAGGTTTAATAGATGTGTTAGTAAGATACATATGATCCTTTCCATTATTCAATGGGATAAAAACACATAATAAGCAATGTTATCAGAATCAGATTGGCCATCGAAATAGATGAGGGGTATGATCTAGTCAAAACTGATGTTATCATGATCGGATCAATGATCCAATTAGTGAGTGCACGGTTTAATCAAAACTAGTCCAATCATCAGTTAAATCGGTTGGAGATGACTTTAATATATATGTTAAGAATATCTATAAAATTTTAAAACTATAGAATATATTTTCAAAAATTCCTAATTTTGTTTGGCTGATCTAATTAGTCAAAACCGGATCAGACGAGCAAAACTAATTAATATTGGTTTGGATTGGTTTTCATTCAAACTAAGTTCCTATTTTGGACCAAACTGACTAATGCACTAGTTGGTAGTCCAACAAATTGGACCAATCGGTGCCTTGATTTCTATGATAAAAAAGAAAATATACATTTCAAAAAAAATAAAATCCCTAAAAATTTGGGAATTAAGGATTATGTTTCTTTAATAATTCTCAAAAGGAAGAGAATATCTTTTCTGGATTGTATACAATGAGACCAGTGTTTTAAGAATTCTCTCTCTTTAGAGATAATATTGGGTTAGGATCCTTTTAGAAATGGGTGCGGTTTGTATAGTGCCTAGGCTCTAAACAATCAAATTAGAGCCTACTTTCAAACAGTATCAAGAAATGTGGTTTCAACACCAAAAATCTTTGTGATAGCCTTAAAATATATTTTCACTTTTATTTATAAAGTTTAAAGCTTTAAAAATAGTGTAGATAGACATATCTATGAAAACTTGCAAATATTGAAAATTGACGGGCCAAAAATACATTAAAAAATACACTATTTCCAAACTTGAAATCTATTTTTTTCTCATATCCATGCATCTCGATATCGAGATGATCAATTTAAGGATATTTTTCCATCAAAACAATCTCTTCTAGTGAAATTTTTGAGGTAGGCTCTAATTTGATTGTTTAGAGCCTTGGCTCTATATAAACTTTTTCTCTTTAGAAATTGGGGTATGTTCTCTCTCTCCGTGTCACACTCCCCCCTACCCCTCAAAATTGAAAATTTTATTATAAAATATTGTTAAAATATCAAACAACCCAACAATTGTTGGAGGAAGTTAAATGAATGATTTATCAAAAGGGTTAGGTAGCGGTGGCCATGGACCCGAACCCAACTTGGTTCAGAGTATGGGTACAAAAACTTGACGCAGTTGGTCGGATCTAGGTCCAAATATTTGACCCAAACAATATTCAGGTCCGGAGCCTGGTCTATGCAAACCCCAATAGTATTATTATTTAAATAATATATAATATTTTAATAATATTTAATAATATAACATATATTCTTAGTTACAATATTTAAATAATATATGTATAAATTTAACATAATACTTAATTATATTTAAATATTTTTTATTTATTTTTGGGTCGGTTCCAATCGGGTCTAGGTCCCGGTGGATCCATCCCGACATGGTGCCACCCCTAGGGTTAGGTCTTTCGTTGATGGTTTTTAATTTTCTCTAAAAGTCGGAACGCATGGGTGCCTATGTTCCGACACTTTCCTCATAAATGAGGAAAACAATAAGTTTCGACTTTCCGAAATTTTACTCTTCTCAAACGGGTGAAAACGACCTTTCCCTTTTCTACGTTATTAGGCGCCCCTTACAATATGTTCCATGAACGCTCTTCTTAAGGGCGACTTTAATGATATTTTAAATTTAGTTCCCTCCTTTCGCTCTTTTGGTACTTAAAGTTCTAAATGACCTTTCACTCACCCTATCTCTATCTCCCCAAAAAAAAGTACAAGTCACCCGCCCGGAGCTTTAAGTTCGGAACAGGTGTTTCTAATAAAAATTTGGTTTTAAACCCAAAAATTCAAACTATGAATTAAGCCATAAAAAAAAGAAAAAAAAGATGCAGTTGGCATACGGATGCATCCATAGGTGTAGAGGTAAGGTGCGCTTTCAAATTTTATCATGGTATATAATTTTGATCTAAAATGTTCTTAGGATTATCTCAAAATCTATTTTTATATCTAATTATAAAATTTTAAATTTAAAAAATGGTTAAAATCAAGTAGATCTATAAACATATGAAAATCTTGAAAATAGACGGTGTAGATAATATGTTGTAAAATGCACTATTTTTGAGATTTAAAATCTTTTTATTTTTTGTAGTCATACATCTTGATGTCGAGATGATCAATCAAAGGGTTTTCAACATTAAAACTACCTTTTTCCGATGGATTTTTGAGGGGCATCCGTAGTTCTAGATTATAAGGTAGCATCCTTACATAAACTTTTTTCAAAAAATAAGATATTGTGAATCAAAACTTGGAGTTTCAAACCAAAGCTACATTAAGGAAAACAAGCAGAGAGATATATACACATATAAGGATGTGATGTGTATAGCCCTAAATAATTAAACTAAGGCGCACCTTCAAATGATGTCTTTCGATGTTGATTCAACATTGAAAATCTTTGTG